TCTCTGGTCTCTCTCTTCTCTCTCTCTGGTCTCTTACGAAAAAGCTGATGTAAATATTTCAAGCTGTATATACGTGCATGTTAAAACTTGTGATTGATAGAACTGTTTTGAGAGCTAGAGGCATTATATTTTGTTTTCGTACACTACTATTTTTTTCTGATGTCCTGAGCTCCAGGATCTCGGAGTCTGGTTTGGTGGGCTACTAGTACATATTTCGTGTGAAAGTAGTCTACCCCAGCTTTAAAGTGGTGGATGCGTGTACATGTGCACTTGTTAACAAACAGCTTTCACCAAGTGATCAGTTCCAGCAGCAGTGCTGTGAAGATGTTTCGATGATTTTCTGCTAAAACAGTTGTAGCCATTACTGTAAATAATGTTGTTACTGTACTCTGGAACCGCAGAGTACCGTCTCAGTCCTGGGTCTGCATCCTATCTGTTTGTGGGAGCAGATCCCTCTCCTTTTTTCCCGCTGGATTCCTGGGTGGTTCCTTGTGATTCAGGAAGGTCTAAGGACAGTGATGATCCGGGACATTTCTGCAACTTAACTTCACTGCTGTGGTGATTTAGGGCAGTATACAAATACATTTGGGCCCCGTCCCAATTCTCACCCTTGCCCTTAGGTGTGAGTGCCCTCACCAGAAACGTGCCTTCCCAGTGGTGAGTGCACTCACCACTTGGCACACCCCTGGATCTAGGGGACAATATGCAAATGACGCAGCAGACGTGTTCCACGTCACATTCATTATCAAAGTGTCTGATTTCACCACAGATAAGCTCTGACACAGACATGACTTTATGAAACACAGTATTTATTAAAATGAGAAGTGTTTAATTCTATTTGATATGAAGATTTGCTATAATTAGGTAGAGAACTGCTGCGCATCACGCACTCAGAGACAGACGCATACACACACTTACAGACACACACAGAGGCAGACACACACGCCCACAGACAGACGCATACATACGTGCACAGAGACGTACCACACAGAGACAGACGGGTACAGCCGCGGTCCCGCGGATCACAAAGCAAACTGTGTCAAAGCGATGTTCTGAACTACATCGTGGATCTATAATAATAACATGCACCACGTCTCTGAAGCCTCAGTTAATGCCGCCACTCGCTGCAGTCGTTTCGGGACCGAGTGTCACCACACGGCACCAACACACGCTTCGGAGCTTCCTCCCGTTCCGCACAAACTTGCGCCTGGGTGTTTCATGTTGTTTTCTTGAAATGCTTTACCAACAGCTATTGTAATGAATCATGGAATCACCCTCGCTAGGAAGTGAGCTCCGGACCTCAATTGCGCTCAAGGGTGGTTTTTAGGGGTGTGAAGGCCCACACCTCTTCTCCCTAAGTATTGGGGCACCCTACAACCCCTGCGGGCACGCGCAAAATCTAGGGCAAGTGTGCTTTTTAAGAGCAAGGGTGAGAATTGGGACGGGGCCTTGGTTGACTTGAATCTAGTCCTTCTTGTTTCTGTTTCCAGAGGGCAAAGTTCTTCCTGCAGATCTGACTCATTATGTGGTGCCTGATGTGGGGGTTGTGCTGGACTTTCTGGAGATCCTGGAGTTCAGAGAAATCCAGGGAATCATCTTCACCCAGACAGCGTGTCAGGCTGTGCAGCACAACAAAGGAAGAAGGTAGGAGAGGTCACATCTATCCCGGGCTGCTGTCCGTGGGCAATGTGTCTCTGGTCTCTCTCTGGTCTTCCCGTAGCCCTCATTGCAGTGTGTAGGTCGAGAGTCAATAATGTCATCCGTGACCTCCGGTAGTTCATATGAGTCTATAAAGCCACGTGACTTTGGAAGCACTGTCCCTTTGCACTGTCCCTTTTCACTTTCTCGCCTGTATATTGAATGTGTCTGGCTAGCAAGCCATAAGTGGTACTACTTATGCTCGACACAACCTGCTTTATTTGTGCTTAATAACTACACATGTGTTGTACTTTGGCGGGTTACTGGTGGTGTGTCTGCTCGACCTAACCTTGCTCTATTGGCTGTTTTCCTCCTCGTCATCAACGGGTGTTTCCGTGTCTTAATAGTGGCGTCTCTGTTCAACCCCCCCACCAAGAGTGCCTTGTGTTCTTAGTAGCAGTTAGTTCCTGCACCTTTCTTACTGGGATGCTGCAACCATTGAGTTGCCAGTCCTGTTTGGCACCGATGCAGAAAGACGAGGGCCGTGTGCAATGTCTCTCCAGTAGGGCTGGGCAATAAATCGAATTTTGGCAATTAATCGGCTTTTGAAAAAATCGAATTCGTGAAAAATTGGAAAATCGTGAAATTGAATGAGGGATATTGTGAGAGTTCCAGCAGCACATCAATTACACTTGCGATATCAGCACAGTCTGAACAAGACTTTTATAATATGTATTGGGGGAAACAAATAAAAATAGTTTTGAAACTTAAATATTGAGTGGGAAGATAAACAATATTTTAAGGGCAAAGTCTGTCTTGAGTGACTTTAATGAAAATCGATTTAAAATCGACATCGTCCAAAGCAGGAACTAAAATCGAGATTTTACTTTTTTGCCATATCGCCCAGCCCTACTCTCCAGTCTCGTAGTGGCCCGTCTGCGGGAGGCGCTGACTGACGATGCGTACCCCAATTGTGAGGCTGCCTTGGATGGGCCATCTAATGGCATTTCTGGGGACCATAGATAGGCTCTGTTGGTTGACCTTGGGACGTGGGGTTCTGACGGATTTCTGCCGGTGTCTGATGAGCCTTTGACTGCGGCGATCCGCACAGCCCTGGCATATTTGAAGCTCGGCTGCCAGTGAGGCTCTGGAGCGCACGGTCCAGGCCACTCAGACAAGGCAGCAGTTGGCGGGACTGCTAAGACATTCCTCTTGATCACCCGCTTCTGCTGCACCCCCTGTGAGGAAGCAGAGGAGGGGTTTCTTTTCTTGTTCTGTAGGCGGAGTCCTGGATCTATAGCCCGTCGATCTGTGGGAGCGTATCCCTCTCAATGTGGACCTCCCCAAGGTTTCTCACCTTTTCCCACTGGGTTTTAGAGTTGTTCCTTACCAATGCAGGAGGGTCTAAGGACAGTGGTGATGATCCAGGACACTCAACATTCAACACTCAACATTCAGCACTATCTATTGACATTTATGGTCATCTGCCACTTATGGACAAATGGCTCTGTGTTGTATCATTGCATTTCTTGTGTTTGAGTTTAATCTGTGTTGGCAAATTCAACGGTTTTGTAAAATCCTCAGAGATAAGATCATATTCAGATAAATTTATTTTGCGATTTGCAATAAAACCACATAGGAATATAAGTAAGTCACCAGTGTGCACAAGACAAATACATTAATAAACAAGAGTAAGAGAAATATAACTAATAAAGCAGGAAACAGTTGTCACTGGGAAATCGATCAACTAAAACAATATGTGCAAGATCATTAAAGTGATTTATATGAAACATATGGAAGAGTCATTGATTATTCTAGGAGCCCGGTTTGCCTCTGGATTCATAAAGAACCTCCAGGACAGGCAGCTCACAGTCCTCTTTGCAGAGCACAGCACCTTGTTTAGAGCTTTCTTTTGATGTTGCCGAACCACACAGTCATAGGACCAACATGCCTACTTTCAATGGTGCAGCGATAGTTAAACAGGATTTTAGAGTTTGTGCTCAATTCTCTAAGTTTCCGAAGAAGGTAAGAAATAACTACTGTGGCTATACAAGAATAAATTGATTTTAATTGAATGGTTTCTGGGCGGCCCAATCTCCCAATGCATGAGTTATGGCCACTTCGTCCATGGGTTATCGTCTCCAATTCCACCGGCGGTCTCCTTTTCCTGACCGGGCTCTTCTGACTTTAATTCAGGACCCGGTCAGGGCACAGCCGCTTGTTCAAGAGATACCCTACGACCCCCCTGCTGGATCCAGGGGGCTTTTAAAAAGACTACCGATTTGCAGCCTGTCTTGGACCTCAGGGGTCTGAATTTGTTCTTGAAGGTCTTTCCTTTCAAGGAAGTCAATAGACCTGAAGAACGCTTAATTCCACGTCCCAATTTCTCCTCAGAATGGCAGGTTTCTTCGTTTTTTAGGGAAGGCACCACCAGTTCAGAGTGCTTCCTTTCGGCCTGTCTGTCTTTCTGGGTCTTTACAAGGTGCGTTGCTGTAGCCCTTTCCCTGTTGGGTTGATAATGGAAATAATACATTTAATTTAATACATGTATTGTACTGTATTTAATATGATTAACAATAGTGTGTTCAAACGAAATATTTGATTAGATCAATTTTTTTTCCCCATTTTCCATTATCAACCCGACAGACCAGTTGTAAGCTGTAGAGTTGCCACAGGATGCGTCATCAGCCTACGTCAGCAGCCGCGGACCGCTATGAAAACATTAGCTTTGTGGTTTCACAGGCGCAGTTGACTGCTTAAACTAAACTTTGCATGAAACTTTGACTCTTAAAACCCACATGTGACAAAACGGAACCATCAACATCTTGCCTCAAATTGCATTAAAAGTGACATTCGTGTCTTAATTTGTTCGTATTTTAACTTTTAAAGAAATTCACGGTCCGCCATCTTGGTATGCTTCGGCTGCCGTGAGACGCGCAGGTTTGCATTACATCATAAACTGCTGAGGTAGTGCATCTCTTCAAGGCAGTGTATCTCGGCGTTACACCGGCTTCTCCACCCAGACTAGGGGGTGGGAACCTCAGGGTACCTCACGATACTATACGATGTGCGATACAAAGCTCACGATAACAATTATCTCATGATATGACGATGCAATGATTATCGGTTTATTGGTCAAAAATATACCTACAATAATATTTTTTTTATATTTATGGCATAAATTAAGTGAAAAAATACACTTTATTTCAAGATAAATAGCTAAAGTGTCATGTGTAACATTAAAGTGAACAAGCAAAAATGCCTTTTAACCTGCACATTTGAGTAAAAATCTTACTTAATCTGTCTTACATCCAATAAAATCAGTATGAACATTCTACAGAAATTGTAGACCACGTAATGTAGCCATATATTAAGTAAGGGATAATGTATAGCATACAGGTCATTATCAGAAAATAAGTACCAACAGGGCGAAGCGGACCCCGACGGAGGGGTCTGCTTCCGCCCTGAAGGTACTTATTTTCCGATAATGACCTGTATGCTATACATTATCCCGCTTATTATACTGCTTTGTACCAACTTAACACACAAAATAAACTTCAGATCACTTTTATGAATGCCAAAAGTTTATTTAATGACAACAAATAAAGTAGTCCCAAAAAGTTTTCCCGTTGCTCGGCAACCGCGGGCAGGCAGTGTGGCTTTGACAATTGTGGCTATGCTAGCAACAGTTAGGCTGGCAACTTCCAAACTAGAACTCTCTGGAACTGCATGAAAACTGAACAAAGAATTCTGAACATCAGCGGTGAGTGATCCATACATAAACCTAACCTAAATCCATAATTCGATCCTCTGCAAATGTGTCCGAAAATGTGCCGGTATCTACTTCCGGGTTTTTCGGGATCGCCTTTTCTCGCATTACATCAGTGTTTTTGTCATGAAAACGTAAACGGAAAATTCTGAAAACTTCCGTGCACTTGTATTAAGACTGGATATGTATAATTCACTCTCCGATAAATATTTCATTGCGTTGATTGATTGGCATTTGCGTTTATTGAGCGGCCAGAACTACTTCCGGGTTTTTCACGATCGCTTTTTGACGCAGAGAAATAGTATTTTTGTCATGAAGACAAGACCAGAAAATTCAGAAAATTTCCGTGCACGTGTGTGAAGAATGTATATGTATAAGTATTCTCCGATTAACATTTAAGTGTGTTGATTGAGCGTGGCTAGCTCAGGAGTGGCCGGAACTACTTGCGGAGTTATCCACGCATTTGAAATACCAGCAGAGAGTGCGTTGCCATGGGCAGCGGTCATTATTGTTTTGAGAGGTCCGTTATAGAAAATAATGACCGGTAGAACGTTTTGAAATTACATTCAAATCAATGGAGCGTTCTACTGCTGCTCTGAGGAGCCGTATAATAAGTATCGATACTTTATTTATATTTATTCAAATAAAGCTTTAAATGAAAAAAAAAGATTAAAAAAAAAATCTATACTTAGCAAAAGCATATTGATAATCGATTGCATGAGAAAGTATCACGATACATCACCATATCGATATATTGCCTAACCCAGACCCCAGTTTTAATTACTAATGGTATTGAGAAAAATAAATTTGTTTTAGGAATTTTCATTGACCTTCAAAAAGCGTTCGACACAATTGACCACCATATTTTGATACACAAACTTGAAAGCTATGGCATAAGGGGACAAGCTAAAACATGGGTAGAGAGTTACTTAAGTGAGAGAAGGCAGCTGGTACAGATTGACCAACACAAATCTAAATTTGAGAACATAACGTGTGGAGTACCTCAAGGATCAATACTTGGACCCACATTATTCATAATGTACATAAATTATATATGTAAAATATCAAACATATTGAAATTCATCCTTTTTGCCGATGACACAAATATCTTATATGCAGGTTACGATCTGAAGCAGCTCTTGGCCACTGTAACTGTTGAAATGAACAAACTAAAGACCTGGTTTAATATAAACAAATTGTCACTAAATTTAAAAAAGACAAAGCTTATGCTTTTTAGCAATCGCAGATGTAATATTCCTGTCCAGATTGTCATTGATGACACACAAATAAGTAAAGTTCATCAAAATACATTTTTGGGAGTTGTAATAGATGATAAAATATCCTGGAAGTCTCACATAAATTTCATCAGGTCAAAAGTTGCTAAATGTGTTGGAATGATGAAGATAGCAAGTCATTTACTCAACACCAATGCTCTTCTATTATTGTATCGTTCTTTCATCATGTCATATTTATATTACTGTGTTGAAGTGTGGGGAAACTGTTACAAATCCCACTTACAGCCTCTGATCACTCTGCAGAAAAAGGCCATAAGGATTGTCTCTAATGTTCACTACAAACATCACACTCATCCACTGTTCATAGAGCTAGAAGAACTTAAATTTCAAGATTTTATTCACTTTAAAACTGCTCAAATTACTCTCTGCCTCCAAATGTTCAGAACTTATTTCTTGACAGAGATGCGCATCATAGTCACAGACGGAGGAAATAAAAATGTTTACTTGCCTAAATTTAGGACCACTTTAAAGTCGATGTGTGTCTCAGTGCGAGGAGTTACTCTGTGGAACACCTTAATGGATGAACAAAAAAATTGTACAAATCTGTTTCAATTTAAAGATTTGTTTAAAAAATATGTACTAAAGAAATACAAGGAGGAAAGGTAGTGATGCCCTCAGCACAGAGCGAGTGATGGGAGAGAGGGGTGGGGTCAGAGTGTTTGTGCGTGTGTGTGTGTGTGTGTGTGTTTTGTTGTTTTTGTTGATGTTTTATTATTATTTTTTCTTTGTATACCATTGGTGGTAGTATTGTGTAGATGGTAGTATTTTGTAATGTGATTTTCTGAATTCCACTGGATTTCGTTTGACTTGTGTTGTGTGGGTGAGAGGGTTGGGCTAAAATAAGCATAATGCTTCATCCAACCCCTTTTCAAACCTTGAACATATGTCTGAACATTTGTAAATTGTGTTTCCTGTGCAGGTTTGAAATAAATTAGGTGTGGCTCCTTCCAATGTTCGAACAAATGGTTATGGCCTACACTGGAGAGATCAGGCGCACCATACGCAATGCCAGGGCTCCGTCCACGCGTCAGCTGTATTCCTATAAATGGAACCTGTTTTACGCGTGGTGTTGTGGCATAGAACTCAAGCCTCGTCTCTGATCTGTGCAATCGATACTGACCTTTCTTCTGGAACAGCTCAGTAAGGGCCGTTCTCTATCCACCCTGAAGGTATATGTTGATGCAATATCATGTGGGAATGCTGGATTTGGTGGTACTAGTATGGGTAGTGGCAAAGGGAGGTTTCTCACCCATCATCTGTACTTCTTAACAAGTTTTCCTGACGTTTTGTCTTAAATCCATCTTTGGATTAAGGACGAAACCTCAGAAAAACCTGCTAAGAAGTACAGATGATGGGTGAGAAACCTTCCTTTGCTTTGACTACTCCCTGTACGACTGAGAGCTTACAAAAACTTAATATGGGTAGTATTCATGACATATCACTGTGCTTGAATGGTGCAGGCCGGTTACACCCGCCCTGTGGTACCGACATGGGTTGATACCTGGCGTTCCCCACTGTTTTAGCCCTTGGGGGGGATAGACCTCAAGTGGTTGTTAATGAAGACTGCGTTTCTACTGGCTATGGCTTCTGGACGGCAAGTGAGTGAACTCCATGCTGAGAGATCAAAGCTATGCTCTCACTGAAGGAGCAGCCATCCTCCTGTGGACTCACCACCTGCAGGAGGATCAGTGAGGGGCTGGTGCTCTGTGTCTTGGGTGGCATCTCTGGACACTCTGTGTCTGCTTTACCGTGAGGTGCCATTCTACAGGGGGAATTTCGACTTTGTGGATTGCTGTGAATGGTGTGTTGTTGGACGTCATCTGTGCGGCAGCATCATGGTTGTCCCCTTACACCTTCGGCAGGTTCTAATGGGTGAATGTTGCCATGCCAGCACCTTCTGCAGGGGGTTATGTGGGACCACTCGTCTTTGTCACAGTGAGGTGAGGTTTTGGTTGGTTTCCTTGCTGATATTTCCATCTAGTGCTTAAGCATCGCCTCTGGTGTTCAAAGATCGAAACTTACTATGAATTCTGGATGACTGCCAGTGTCCCTCGGAATCCTTATGTTGCAAGAAAGGCTAGAGGGACTTTGCTATCAGAGTCATGTGGCTTTATAGAGCTACCGGAGGTCACGGGTGAATTTGTTATTATTTGACTCTTGACTCTCTTGACTCTTTCTGGCGGTTATTGAGGATTCATTTAGTCATATTTTTTGTTTTACCTTTGTTTTACATCTGCAACTTTATTTTTAGAACACATCACCCCCACCATTAAAGGAATAGGCCACCGTTTTTACATAATGATATACGTATGGGCTTACCTTACCGTAGACTAGTTTATATGTACCTGTCTGGTCTTTGTCCGTGCGCTATGTCATGCAAACGGAACACAAACGCAGCCTCTTCCACATACTGTATAGTAACGAAATCAGCTCCCGTTAGAAGCTACCAAACTCTTCCACGTGTTCCCTATTTAAATACAGTTACGTGACGTGTTACACTACAAAGTATAGTATATAGTAAAAGGGGTACTATATTGTGAGGCGTAATAATACAAGGAGCGCTATGTCCGTCCACTAACTCCTATAGACTTCTCTCACGCTGCTTCTATTGACGGAAGTGATGGTGGCCTATTCCTTTAACCTGTACACACATAGATTAACTCAATTCTAATTTAATTCCATGTTTTTGTTGCTGTAGGCAGTACAACAGACTTCGTAACTTACTGAGAGACCCTCGCCATGACTGTGTTCTGTTCGCCAATGAGTTCCAGGAGTATTCGTACTGCCCTCGAGAGAAGGGGGAGTGCCACGAGAAGTGGCAAACCAGGTTCGACTTTATTCTATATACAAGAGAGAGACCGGAGACTGAGGGAGACCGGAGACTGAGGGAGACCGGAGACTGAGGGAGACCGGAGACTGAGGGAGACCGGAGACTGAGGGAGACCGGAGACTGAGGGAGACCGGAGACTGAGGGAGACCGGAGACTGAGGGAGACCGGAGACTGAGGGAGACGGGAGACTGAGGGAGACGGGAGACTGAGGGAGACCGGAGACTGAGGGAAGCGGCACACACACACAGTTACAGTGCCTTGCGAAAGTATTCGGCCCCCTTGAACCTTTCAACATTTCGCCACATTTCAGGCTTCAAACATAAAGATATAAAAAATTAAATTTTTTGTCAAGAATCAACAACAAGTGGGACACAATCGTGAAGTGGAACAAAATTTATTGGATAATTTAAACTTTTTTAAAACTGAAAAGTGGGGCGTGCAATATTATTCGGCCCCCTTGCGCTAATACTTTGTAGCGCCACCTTTTGCTGCAATTACAGCTGCAAGTCGCTTGGGGTATGTCTCTATCAGTTTTGCACATCGAGAGACTGGAATTCTTGCCCAATCTTCCTTGCAAAACAGCTCAAGCTCAGTCAGGTTGGATGGAGAGCGTTTGTGAACAGCAGTCTTCAGCTCTTTCCACAGATTCTCGATTGGATTCAGGTCTGGACTTTGACTTGGCCATTCGATACGTCTATTTGTGAACCATTCCATTGTAGATCTGGCTTTATGTTTTGGATCATTGTCCTGTTGGAAGATAAATCTCCGTCCCAGTCTCAGGTCTTTTGCAGACTCCAACAGGTTTTCTTCCAGAATGGTCTTGTATTTGGCTCCATCCATCTTCCCATCAATTTTAGCCATCTTCCCTGTCCCTGCTGAAGAAAAGCAGGCCAAAACCATGATGCTGCCACCACCATGTTTGACAGTGGGGATGGTGTGTTCAGGGTGATGAGCTGTGTTGCTTTTACGCCAAACATATCGTTTTGCATTGTGGCCAAAAAATTCGATTTTGGTTTAATCTGACCAGAGCACCTTCTTCCACATGTTTGGTGTGTCTCCCAGGTGGCTTGTGGCAAACTTTAAACGAGACAATTTTTTTGGATATCTTTGAGAAATGGCTTTCTTCTTGCCACTCTTCCATAAAGGCCAGATTTGTGCAGTGCACGACTGATCTATGTCTGTCCTATGGACAGACTCTCCCACCTCAGCTGTAGTTATCTGCAGTTCATCCAGAGTGATCATGGGCCTCTTGGCTGCATCTCTGATCAGTCTTCTCCTTGTTTGAGATGAAAGTTTGGAGGGACGGCCGGGTCTTGGTAGATTTGCAGTGGTCTGATACTCCTTCCATTTCAATATAATTGCTTGCACAGTGCTCCTTGAGATGTTTAAAGCTTGGGAAATCTTTTTGTATCCAAATCCGGCTTTAAACTTCTCCACAACAGTATCTCGGACCTGCCTGGTGTGTTCCTTTGTCTTCATGGTTCTCTCTGCGCTTTAAACAGAACCCTGAGACTATCAAAGGGCAGGTGCATTTATACGGAGACTTGATTACACACAGGTGCATTCTATTTATCATCATCAGTCATTTAGGACAACATTGGATCATTCAAAGATCCTCACTGAACTTCTGGAGTGAGTTTGCTGCACTGAAAGTAAAGGGGCCGAATAATATTGCACGCCCCACTTTTCAGTTTTTTATTTGTTAAAAAAGTTTAAATTATCCAATAAATTTCGTTACACTTCACGATTGTGTCCCACTTGTTGCTGATTCATGACAAAAAATTAAATTTTTACATCTTTATGTTTGAAGCCTGAAATGTGGCGAAATGTTGAAAGGTTCAAGGGGGCCGAATACTTTCGCAAGGCACTGTAATTGGACAGCCTTTTACTCCCAGAGGTTGAGATGTGTGTTGTGATGTCACATTGTGTGTAGATGTGTGTACTCTGCTTCTGTGTGGTACTACAACCATCTGGCTGGGCTCAAAGACATCGTCATGGTGACTGAAGACAGGGAGGCGGTGACTCAGTACAGCAGCCTTTACTCTGGCGTCTACGTCATATCAATGCAGGTGAATACACACATGCATACAATACACACACACACACACATTACATACACACAAACACACACACTCACTCACATACAGGACTGCAGTGGTTACACATGTACTAAAAAGCAAGTGCTTTTGTCCCGCTCTCAGACAGATGCAAAGTTTAGTCCCAAAATAGCTTCTTTTTGACTAAAGTTGGAGATTTAATAATTGGAAATAATGAACATTGATCCATTTTTCTTAGCCAGATAGACTGCCAGATAGGCAGTCAGAGAGACAGCTAGACAGAGAGTGAAACCGAGAGAGACCAGAGATACAGACACATAGAGAGGGACCAGAGATAGTGAGACCAGGTCAGGTCGCAAGTCTCCAAAACTAGTCCCCATCTCTGGAAGTAGTGCTAATAAGTAGTCTCTAATAGTTGTTGCGGTTGTGTGCTACACGATCCTATAAATAAATTTAACATTCTTCTGCGTGATTGCTCTAAATTGGTTTGGGACAAAACAGTGAACTAGCTTCTTATTAAACCAAATTTGTTTTGTGTTAAGTTCGCAGAGGGCGCTCTCCTTTGTTTGTGTTAATACATAATTTATCAGTGGATGGGCTTTCTTCAGCGCTGCGGCCTGGATTGTTTAGAGGGGTGAAACGATGGTGTACCGTTATAATTGTCTCATATTAGCATACGCCCTGATAGGCTGAACTCCTGTCTCCAATGAGCAACTCTTTGACAGCGTTAGCGCCCCTAACCCACAGGGTGACGAGAGGCTCTCTAATCTAATCTACATTTTGTCATTGAAAGATTATTTTAAAGGCTAACACACATAAAGATGCACAACTTCACTGGTGTCACCCATCTCTTTTCTTTTACCTTAGGGGTAATGTGTTTCTAAAAGTAAGCAACATTAAGTGAAATCCTTGAAGTGGCCTCTCTATATTTTAAGGTTGTAAAAACCCTCATCAGACACTTTTCTAACCATCTGAAAAGTCTCTCTCTGGCCTCTTTCACTGGTCTAGTCTCTCTGGTCTCTCTTTCTGGTCTGGTCTCTCTCTGGCATAACATTGTACTGACCAGGAAGTTGTGGTGTTTTTTCCAATAACCACCATGGGTGACGAGAAGTAAGTAAGTATTGTTTATTTATATAGCACATTTTACAGACCAAGGAGGCGAGACGTCGAACACACAGACGCTTAAAAGCCTCCAACCGACACCATCCATTCACTCCCTCATTACATTCATACCTATTGTGAATGTTTTTAGTGGTAGGGGTGACCGGAGCACCCGGAGAAAACCTACGCAGACACGGGGAGAAAATGCAAACTCCACTCAGAAAGGCCCTGTTCCAATCGGGATTCGAATCCAGGATATACTTGCTGAAAAGCGAGAGTGCTATCCACTCAGCCACCGTGCCACCATGAAAGGGCTTTCATCTCAGGGGACAAAGAGGAGCAGAAGAGGATCCAGCACGAGCTACAGGGGAGGATCAGGAGGGCCAAGAAAGACTATGGGCAGAAGCCGGAGCAGAAGCCGGAGCAGAAGCCGGAGCAGAAGCTGGAGCAGAAGCTGGAGCAGAAGCTGAAGCAGAAGCCGGCGCAGAAGCCGGCGCATGGAAACGCCAGTGACGTGTGGAGAGGTCTAAAGAACATTTCCAGATTTGGACAGAGTGCTAGAGGGACAGTGGTTGGAGACCAGGCCCGGATTAATTTAACCAATATTTTAACCGTTTCAAAACTCCCCTCACTCCATCTGCTCCCCTTCCACCCCCACTTCTTCACACGTCTCCTGCCCAGTGGACACTGCCCAGGCTGTACAGACCAGCCCTTTAAGGTCCTCAGCCACATCTACATCTACAACTTGAGCCTCAGCCTGGAGAAGGTCAATGTCCTGTGGAAGACCTCCTGTGTGATCCCGGTTCCTAAAACAGCACACGCCAAGGAACTGGCTCACTACAGACCAGTCGCACTGACCTTCCTCCTGATTTAGACCATGGAGCGGCTCATTCTCACCAACCTCCGCTCTGTGGTTAGCCCCACCCGTAGTAGAGGGCACTGTCATCTACTCGCTGCAGCAGACGCTCTACCCCTGGAGCCCACCGGGAGCGCTGTGAGGGTGATGTTTTTTGACTTCTCCAGTGCTTTCAACACCATCAGACCGGCACTGCTGCAGGGAAAGATGGAGGACCGTGGACAGTCACCTCACTGCATGGACCTTCGACTACCTCTCGGACCCACCCACAGTAGCGAGTGCGTCTGGGGAAGAATGTCTCGAACTCTCGGATTATAAACACAGGAGCCCCACAGGGCTGTGCTCTTTCTCCCCTGCTCTTCTCCCTGTACACCAACCACTGCACCTCCAGCCACGACTCCGTGAAGCTGATCAAGTTCGCGGACGACACCACCCTCATTGGACTTATCTCCAACAACGATGAGTCTGCCTACAGGAGGGAGGTGGACCGGCTGGTGTCCTGGTGCAGTGGTAACAACCTGGAGCTGAACGCCCAGAAGACAGTGGAGATGATTGTGGACTTCAGGAAGAGCACTGTCCCCCCGCCCCCACCCTCCGTGATGGACTCCCCCATCACCTCTGTGGAGTCCTATCGTTTCCTGGGCACTGCAGAGGAAGTGATCGGCCGCAGCCTTCCATCGCTGCAGGACCTGTACGTCGCCTGAGTTCGAGGCCGGGCTGGTCGTATCACAGCCGACCCCTCTCACCCTGCACATGGACTATTCCAACCACTCCCCTCAGGCAGGAGGCTGCGGTCCATCAGGACTAGAACCTCCCGCCACAAGAACAGTTTCTTCCCCTCTGCTGTTGGACTCTTGAACACTTCTTAACCTGTCCCCCCGGCCTTTATAAAGTCACTTTACTGCCCATCATAGGTCACTTTACTTCACTGTACTGCTGTCACCTTACATTGTGTGCACCATGTGCACTTATATTGTAAATAGTAACTGTAACTCTATTTTAAATTTAAATTTATTCCTTAGAAGTGTTTTTTATTCTTTATTTTTTATTATTTCTTTCTGACTGTTGCACTGAGCCAAAGCAAATTTCAAGTCTGTGACTTCCTGTTACTTACGTGGCAATAAAAAATATTCTGATTTGGATTCTGATTCAGTAGCATGCGGCTCTGCAGCTGTAAGTATGAGGTGGTAGTCTGCAGTAATGGGGGCCTCAGGGCACCGTCCTCTCACCGTTTCTCTTCACCATCTACACTTCGGACTTCACATACGACACACACAGCTGTTATCTGCAGACATTCTCTGACGATTCCGCCATCATGGGCTGTGTGTCTGAGGGGAATGAACTGTAGTACAAGTCGGTTAACATGGACTTTGTCGACTGGTGTGAGCGCAACCACAAGACCAAGGAGATGGTAATCGACTTCAGGAGCAAACCACTACCCCACAAGCCGCTAAGTAAGTAAGTAAGTAAGCTTTATTTATATACCGCCTTTCACAGACCAGAGTCACAAAGCGGTTTACAATTGTTATTAATGAACATCCAGAGGGAGAAAATTGAGCTGTTGGACAGCTTTAAGTACCTGGGTGGACAGGTCCCATAACACCAACGCCCTGTACAAAAAAGGCCAAAGTTGCCTCCACCTTCTGTGGAGGCTGAGGTCCTTCAGAGTGAGTAGGCCTCTGCTCAGGACACCTTCTCTGTTGTAGCCTCTGCCATACACTACGCTGCCGTGTGCTGGGCCCAGGGCAGGAGCGGGACAGGAGTAGACTGAATAACTGAGTCACCCTCATTGCAAGAAGGAGTACTACTGCAGGGCCTTTGTCTCCACTGCTGTCAGACTGTAAAATAAGTCACTTTAAGTCACCAATGACCTTCACACTTCATGTCTTTTTGCACAATCTGAGTGATACTATCTATGCCAAATGTGACAAGTTAATTTATCCATTGTGAGATCAATAGAGACAAACAATACATCTTATCTGTCTCTGGTCTCACTCTCTGGTCTCACTGTAGTCTCTCTCTCTAGTCTCCTCCGCCCCTCATCACACAGTGCTCAAAGTCTAAAGAGCCTGATCGTAACAGTGAAACTTTCTCATGCATTTTTCAGGAATATTTGCATAACTTTTGGCTGGATGTGCACGCAGCTCATGAACTGTACAGCTCGATCACCCAGGCGGCACTGGGGAGAGAGAATGAGGGCTCGGAGAAAGAGTACATAGAGCACCTCCCCTCTGAGCTGCTGGAGGCGGGCATCAAGTCCGGAAGATACGTTCAGGTGCGTGTGTGTGTGTGTGTGTGTGTGGGAGTGAGCGAGTGAGTGGGTTTGACACCATTTTGTGTTCAGGGTATCCTCAATGTGAATAAGCACAGAGCCCAGCTGGAAGCGCTAGTGACCGCACAGGGATTCTCCAACAAGAGCACAGGTAATGCACTAAAAGAGAGACAGTGTAGTGCTGCAGGAGTGTGGAAGACCAGGACCCTTTCGAAAGAGGACTTCAGGACAGAGACCTGAGACCAGGACTAATGTGAGAGGACTTCAGGACAGAGACCTGAAACCTGGACTAATAATAATAATATTACGTTATATTTCTTAAGCACCTTACATTTCCTTAAAACCTCAAATTGACTAATGTGAGAGGACTTCAGTGATCTGAGCCCTAAAACAAAAGAATAGTGTCCTCATTCAGGTTTGAAGAGGTTGTTTTTTTTATATACATGACAACATTTTCATTTCACAATGGGTGCTTAAAAGTCAAAAATATTATACAGTGCCTTGCGAAAGTATTCGGCCCCCTTGAACCTTTCAACCTTTCAGCTGTAGTTATCTGCAGTTCATCCAGAGTGATCATGGGCCTCTTGGCTGCATCTCTGATCAGTCTTCTCCTTGTTTGAGATGAAAGTTTGGAGGGACGGCCGGGTCTTGGTAGATTTGCAGTGGTCTGATACTCCTTCCATTTCAATATAATTGCTTGCACAGTGCTCCTTGAGATGTTTAAAGCTTGGGATATCTTTTTGTATCCAAATCCGGCTTTAAACTTCTCCACAACAGTATCTCGGACCTGCCTGGTGTGTTCCTTTGTCTTTATGGTTCACTCTGCGCTTCAAACAGAACCCTGAGACTATCAAAGAGCAGGTGCATTTATACGGAGACTTGATTACACACAGGTGCATTCTATTTATCATCATCAGTCATTTAGGACAACATTGGATCATTCAAAGATCCTCACTGAACTTCTGGAGTGAGTTTGCTGCACTGAAAGTAAAGGGGCCGAATAATATTGCACGCCCCACTTTTCAGTTTTTTGTTAAAAAAGTTTAAATTATCCAATAAATTTCGTTCCACTTCACGATTGTGTCCCACTTGTTGTTGATTCATGACAAAAAATTAAAATTTTATATCTTTATGTTTGAAGCCTGAAATGTGGCAAAATGTTGAAAGGTTGAAGGGGGCCGATTACTTTCGCAAGGCACTGTATATAGATGCATATATAGTGCACTGCTACAGTTAGGTACATGCACTTAACTGTAGCATGCATATGTATAAAAAATAATGTATTGTGTCTACAAAGTCTTTGAATTCACTGTATCAAGGAAACACAAAGTATAGAAAGACAAAAAAACTAAACTATGACATAATTACACAGTAGATCATCTTTTTCTGCAGAGTTGAGTCGGGACGTCTTGGTGCTCGGGATAAAGCATCGTAACCGTGCCATACACGGCGACAGCGTGGTGGTGGAGCTCCTGCCCCGTGGGGAGTGGAGAGGGAGAAACACAGCTCTGACTGAAGCCCAGGGTGAAGAGAGGAGTGCGGAGGCGCCCAGAAGCCAGCCCATGCCCACTGGTAACCGACAAGACTGAGAGAGACACCAGAGGGGGATAGAGACAGAGAGCAGAGAGGAAGTGAGAGAGAGACTAGAGAGAGATATACAGTATGTATAGTTAATTGGTACAAAGTTATGGAAACATTGGAGTGTTTTATTAGAGTCACACCCCTTCATGTTACACCCAGCAGGTCCTGTTCATATTGAACCTGGCGTGTCCTATCCGTAACTGTAAATATCCTGTCTGTGACCGGTTGTTGCAGGTCATGTGGTGGGGATTTTGCAGAGGAATTGGAGGGACTACGTGGTGACGTTTCCTCCTCGAGATACTCCCAACCAGAGCCGCAACTCTCAGAAGATCCTGACTGTGCCCTGGGACCATCGCATCCCCAAGATCCGCATCAGCACCCAGCAAGCCGACACTCTGCAGGTCACACACATACTGTGTATACACACAGTGTATGAGACACGTTTGGGCACTGTGTGAATGAATGGATGTTTGGCTGATGGAGGAGTGATGTATTGTGGGCGTGCATGTATGCGTGATTGTGGGCGTGTGCGTGAGAGTCTGTCTGTGTGTGTGTGTAGGCGTGTGTGTGGGGGCGTGCATGTGTGTTTGTACACGAAATTATGAATGAGCGTACACCCGCGGGGGCACGGAAAGGGGAGATAAGTCTGTTTGGGAAGCCATAATTTTTGTTGACCGCTATTATAGTTTGATTTATTTACGTTTATTCACTCTTTTTTTTCTGTATAATCACCACGCATTTTTGGCCTGTGATGCTGCGTTTATTATTAATTAAATCAATGTCATCGCAACTGGATCCAGCCTTCGTTTGTTTTCTATACTAATTTAGCGTGTCATACAATTTTACCGGATCCAACTCGCCTCTCCGCTGCTTTAGGCAACAGGCAGCCGCTATACACAGACTGTCTACAAATGTAAAATGCTAACCCCCCTAGCTCAATAAAGCCCAATAAGAAGGTGCTCATGGTAAACTTTGGCTCCTCCTCACTCTGGCTCCTATTGACTTACAGTAAAGCTCCTCTATCTCAGTAAATGTTTGTGTCACACTGACCGTTTTGGGCATTAAAAATCTGCGCGTCTGAAATTCCTTTGTAAATGACGGTATCTCAATGGTCAATTGTTATTAGGCTCATAGTTATTCATTAATTATTTATTGACCTTAGTTTAACCAGGAAAGTCCCTGAGATTTCAGAATCTCTCTTTCAGGGGAGTCCTAGCGGGTGGCGGGCTCAGGGAGGGCATTTTGGGGGACTATTGTACATGTTTTTAGTGGTAGGAGAATCCGGAGCACCTGGGGGAAACCGGAGCACCTGGAGGAAACCAGAGCAGACACAGGGAGAACATGCAAACTCCACATAGAAAGGCTGGAGATGGAAATTGAACCCAGGACCTTCTGGCTGTGCAGCACAAGCGCTAACCAGTGCACCACCGTGCAGTCATGGATTAGTGCGCTAAACCGCAGACTTAAGCCCAAAATTGTAAAGTGTGACACAACCGGAGACTGGGCAAGAGGAGTTTACTTTAACATGCAAGCCCACAGGAGCCAGAGCAATTTGGAGCCAAACTTCAACATGGGCTCTTGCCTATTGGGCTTCATTGAGCTAGTGGGTTAGCATTGTCCATCCATATACAGTCTGTGTTAGCAATGTAATGTTGCATGCAATCTCTGGTTTGATAACGTTAGTTTCTGTGTCCTCCTCAGGATCACAGGGTGGTGGTCCGGATAGACTCCTGGGACAGCACTTCGTTGTACCCAAATGGCCACAGCGTCAGGATCCTGGGCCGAGCCGGCGAGCTGGAGACCGAGGTCCAGACCATTCTCGTTGAGAACTGCATCAGTGTGTCTGCGTTCTCTGAGGCACAGGTCGGAAATGCAGCCAACACGCTGTTAGAAACTGTCACCTATTAACATGGCATCAGGCTTTATCCAGAAGGGTGGGCTATGTAGGGAAAAAAACTATTGTAAATGAGGCTAGGCAGGTTGCACAGGCTTTAAAATCATAAATAATCACATTGAATTAAAAAGAGAAGATACAATCCGTCAATTGTTACAGCAAAACCTTGATTTGAACATTGTCAGAGTAGAAGCTTGTCTCACATTGTGACTGGTCCAGATTTTAGCTGCGTAAATCTGAAATGCTGCCTCCCCATGTTAAGTGTAACACACACAGTCACACAAATAGACAAACACATGGCGAGACAACACACACGCGCAGACATACACACACAGTAACTAGTAAGTAAGCAAGTAATCTTTATTTATATACTGCCTTTCACAGACCAGAGTCACAAAGCGGTTTACAATTGTGGGCAATTGTCTACTCACTTCACACAGAGGTGGGAGCAGGGTCGCTAGTACAGAAGGCGCATGCCAGACCTATTGTACATGTTTTTAGTGGTAGGGGAAACCGGAGTACCCGGAGGAAACCTAAGCAGACACGGGGAGAACACGCAAACTCCACTCAGGAAGGCCCTGTTCTGACCGGGATTTGAACCCAGGACCTTCTTGCTGAGAAGCGAGAGTGCTTTCCACTCAGCCACCGTGCTGCCCACTAGCTCTACTAACTGAGCTTGTAGACTTAATTTTTCAATATAAGTCAATAGAAGACAAAGAGTTTTTGTTTAAATCGGGTTCTTCCGCACTAAGGCTCACACTATGGTGATGTCACACTGCTGGTTTCTAGAATGTGTCCAATTCTGTGAGGTTTGTATCTGTCTGGTCCTTAGCTGAAGGAGATGCCGGTCGTGTCCCCTGAGCAGCCCTGGTGCCCTGACCCTGGACAGGTGCAGGCCCGCAGGGACCTGAGGGAAAGCCACCTGGTTTTTAGCATCGACCCTCGTGGCTGTGAGGACGTGGACGACACGCTGTCTGTGAAGCAGCTACCGCATGGAGCTCTGGAGCTGGGGGTCCACATCGCTGATGTCACACACTTCGTCAAGGAGGGCTCATTGACGGACCTCGAGGCTCGGGCACGGTGAGGGACAAGATTAGGATACAGATATGAATGGAGGCTCTCTGGTCTGTCCCTCCAGTCGCTCATTGGTCTCTCTCTCTGGTGTCTCTTTGGTTGCTATTCTCTTCAGGCAATTTCTCTTCATTTTAGCATGGCTCCTGCCTGTAGTAATTATGTATATTTCAAACGTATTCCCCGTTTAAATGAGCCCTACTCTTCTCTAGTAGGCCTGGGTGGCTTAACAGGGTTTTATATCACGAACAATAAACAGGATACAAAAACAGCAACATCAGCCAGTTTGCGGGTGAGCATTGTCCGTCTATATCCAGTCTGTGCCCAAACCATGTTCTAACCCGTGTTGGCCTTGTCTTTCAGAGCCACCACGTACTACCTGGCGGACCGCAGATACGACATGCTCCCGGAGGTGCTCAGCTCAAACCTCTGCTCTCTGTTGGGAGGAGTTGACAGGTTGACTACTTACTTACTAATTATTATTCCAAAACTTCGAGTTTTATACTTTTTACTTTGACCAAGACCCTTTCGTTACCTACTAATGTTTTTGGAATATCAGCCTTAGCTTCTGATCATCTCTGCTCTCTCTTCTGCAGGTATGCCATGAGCGTGCTGTGGCAGCTGGATGCAGATTCTCTAGAGGTGAAGAGCGTGTGGTTCGGTCGCACTCTGATCCGCTCCTCGTACCAGCTGCACTACGAGCTGGCACAGTCCCTACTGAATGGGGAGGAGCCAGATGTTCCCGAACTGATCCGCCTCCCCCCAGAGCAGAGAGACCGGAACCTCTGTGACCTCACCCAGGCTTTACACACCCTGACTCATGTGGCCAGACACCTGAGAGCACAAAGGGACCGAGGGGGCGCTCTGGAGCTGGAGGGAGTGGAGGTGAGCCCTGAGAGAGAGAGAGAGAGTGAGCCCAGAGAGAGTAGTTACTAAAGCGTAATGGAAACCCAATGAGGTAGAGCAGAGTACAGCTGGTAGAGTTGGTCTTTCGACTTATCGTGTTTTCCTCTCAGGTTCGTGCTCAGTTGGATTCGGAGAAGAACATCACTGCTCTCGTTCCTCGTCAGCCGCTCGAGGTCCACGAGACGGTGGCCGAGTGCATGATCTTTGCTAACCACTGGGTGGCGCGCAAGATCCAGGAGGCGTTCCCTCACCAGGCCCTGCTCCGTCACCACCCTCCCCCACGGCAGGAGCACTTCAGCCAGCTGCAGGATTGTGCCAGGGCCCAGGGCTTCAGCATAGACACTAGGTGAGACTATTATAGGCACCAGGTGAGACTGTTGTTGGCACCAGGTGAGACTATTGTTGGCACCAGACGCTAGCTAAGTTCTTCTTCTTCTAATTATTTCCAGCAGGCTTTACGCTGGAATGCGCAATGCTGCCCTCCACAGTTATGAAACCATCAGTACTCTAAATTCTTGAATAAGTGCCTGTGCGGCAGAGGAAAAAAACAATGGCTCTGTTAACTCCTTGAGTGTTTTCACAATTTGAAAAAATTGACTTAAAAGATAAAGAGGTTAGCCCTAAATCAGCCAACTCCACAAAAAGTTGTTTTCTTTCCTTGGTGTATTTGTTGCATGACAACAAGATGTGAGTAACAGTCTCCAATGTCCCATAAGTGTACAGTCCGTCTGCATGTTTACCTATTCTGTACAAGGAAGCTGCAAGTCCACAGTGCCCCAGTCTGACTCTAGTGAGAACCACGTCCTCTCTACGACACTCAGCTACAGGCTGCCAACTGTTTCGTATTGATGATTGACATGAAAAATAGAGTCTCCCCCTGCTCTCCCTCTCCCACGTTTTCTGCCACGGACTTTGAAAATGATTTTTACTGATACTGTAACACTCTTTATTCCCAAAATGAAGGTGGTAATCTATGGCGTCTTTTTGGAGTGATTCTTTGGCCAGAGCATCAGCCTTTTTGTTTCCCTCCACACCTGAATGCCCAGGGAACCAAACAAATGAAACAAAGGCACCCACATCCTCAATTTGTTTTAAACAGCACAAAATCTCTAATAGCATATCAGGCCTGGCAGCCGACTCCATACTCCTAAGGGCCAGTAGTGCAGCAGCAGAATCAGAGCAGATAACAGATTGTAAAACGTTATGTTTTTTAATCCACCACAATGCCCACAATATAGCAAGTAGTTCAGCAGAAAAAATGGACAGCTCGTCTGTAATACGGACACACACTGAGCGATATAGATTCCAGAACACATACTTTGCGGCTGCTCTTCTTTTGAACCATCAGTGAAAATTTGGACCACATATTTTTGCTCATTTAAATATACCTTTAAATACCTGGAAGCACGCTAGCGAAGTTATAACCTGTGTGTGTGTGTGTGTGTTCCAGATCTAATAAATCTCTGGCAGGCTGTCTGGAGCAGGCGGTGGACCCCCAGGACCCTGTGGTGAACCAGCTCCTGCGGATGATGGCGACTCAGGCCATGTCTCAGGCAATGTACTTCTGTACCGGAGCTGTGCCTGCTGAGGACTACTATCACTACGGTAACTCAGACCTATGACCGCAACTGAGGCAGGACCCGGACCTCATCTACATGTTTAGTGACCTATGACCTCAGAGGAAATGTCAGTACTATTTCTGATTTGACTGAACACATGATTCCTGATTGAAACTAATGATCATATTACTCTCCTCTCCTCCCTTTCTCTTCTCTGTGTGCTGTCCCTCTCCTCTCTCATCTGTCCCCTCTTTCCTCTCTCCTTATCCTCTGTCTCCCCTGTCCTCAGGTTTGGCTCTGGACCGCTACACTCACTTCACGTCGCCGATCCGACGTTATGCTGATGTGGTGGTACACAGACTCCTAACCGCAGCACTGGACCAGGAAATTGACCGGAGCGTCAGTGTGGGGTCCACCAGAGATATGGAGGAGACCGCACAACACATGAACACGCGCAACAGGGTCTGAGGACACACACACACACGCATATCTCGTCCTGTCTCTCTTAAATTTAGTTGTCTTAATCTTTACTCACTAAATTAACACATATTGACAGTTTCAGCTTATCCACTGTAAATTATGAAAAAGATCAATGTTGCATGTGGGAAAACAGAGACAAATCCACAAAGCCTGTTGCAGCTAAACTTTGTCCATGAGCGCTTCCCTATTAGGTTTTGGTTATTCAGTCAATGGTCCAATTCCACAGGACCTACAGTTTGTAAATGGTCTCCTCCTCTCCGTCTCCTCCAGGCCGCTCAGCATGCTCAAAGGATGTCGACAGAGCTGTTCCAGTGCCTGTTTTTCCGAGACAGACATCCTGAGACTGACTCCGACTGTTTGGCTGATGCTGTGATCTATGGAATCAGAGACAACGGAGTCCTGGTCTTTGTGCCACAGTGAGGATAATCTTTGCATCTCTCTTTGGTTTCTGGTCTCTCTCTGATCTCTCATTCTGGTCTTTCTCTGTTCTCTCTCTCTCTGGTCTGGCTTCCTGGTCCCGCTCTCTTCTCCGTCTTTCTCGTGCTAGTTTTGAGTCTGAGTCTGATCTTGTGTTTGAGGTACGGTCTGAGGGGTCCGGTGTACCTGAGGAGCAGAGGTGGTGAGGTGGTGTCTGTGGCAACGGACGGCAGCTGTGACTGGAGCAGTGGGACCCTCACGAGGAACGCTGACCACATCACCACCTCCTCCGTTAGCGGAAGCGCCACTTTCAGGCTTTTCCAACACATCACCGTGAGTACAAGTGTCTCATCATTTACATGTGGCTAAGGAGAAGAAGGCCCTAAAAATACACACATGTCACACGAGGGACATTACCAATAGAGAGGGAGAGATAGATACTTTATTGATCCCCCGTAGGAGAAATTCAGGCGTCCAGCAGCAGAAAACACATCCATATAAACAGATACAGTACAGACCAAAAGTTTGGTTCAATGAGTTTCCTTTCTTTTCATGACTATTGACTGTAGATTCACACCCAGGCTGGCTCTTTGACCAAGGAGAGAGATGGGGTGCAGGGCCAGGTCTCCACAGTTACCAGACCTGAACCCAATCCAGATGGTTTGGGGTGAGCTGGACCACAGCGTGAAGGCGAAAGGGCCAACAAGTGCTAAGCATCTCAGGGAACTCCTTCAAGACTGTTGGAAGACCATTTGAGGTTACTACCTCTTGAAACTCATCCAGATGAATGCCAAGAGTGCGAAGCAGTAATCAGAGCAAAAGGTGTCTACTTTAAAGACCCTAGTTAATGAAACAACTGAAAATATGTCTTATACTTTTCTTTTTGTACGTACATATTTTTGATGCGTTCAGTGTGAATCTACAATTTTCATAATCATGAAAAATAAACCTCATTGAATGAGGTGTGTCCAAACGTTTGGTCTGTACTGTAAGTACATCAATTTATAAACATTTCTAACTAACTATCTAACAATAGTGCATATTTTTAACTCATACAGGTCTGTTGTACAGTCTGACAGCCAAAGGAACAAAGGATTTTTTAAAACGTTTCTTTTGGCAGCACAGTGATATAAGCCTGTTGCTAATCCTGCTATAATCCTGAGCGGCCATAGTGTCATGCAGAGGGTGTCTGGAGTTACCCAGGATGCCCTGCATTAGAGCCCTCATCCTTCTTTCCAGCATAGCTCCCAGAGCAGAGAGGGAGAGAGCAGAGAGGGAGAGAGCAGAGAGGGAGAGAGCAGAGAGGGAGAGAGCAGAGGTATTTCTTCAGTCATTTTAATGCACTTTGATTAATTATGTGTGGTTTTGATGTTTATTTTCTTGTTTTAAGCACTTTGATTTGCCTTGTATATGAACTGTGCTATACAAAATAACTAGCTTTGTCTTACTTTGTCGAGGCACTGTAATGAAGTTAATTCTGACGTCATCAGTTTTGTTTGATTTGTGTAGTCTTACACATTTTGTGGTTGCTTTTCCCTTGTCCTCTGTAAGGTATGCATCTTGGTGCACACAAACCCCTGCCACGCGGACGCCCTAAACCTGCAGCTGGTCCGCCACGCGCCTCACAAGTCTCAGAGCATGCGGCCGGTCGGGGGGCACACCCGAGCACGGCTGGTGCAAGAGGTGCAGCGGCAGGCCGAGGAGGCCACACTCAGGGCCTCGCTCAGGCCCAAACTCAGCCGAGAGGAGAAGCAGTTCAGCCAGAGCAAACAGCCCAACCTCTACTCTCTGCTGGAAGAGATCCAAGAGCTCTCTCTGATGAGCTCCGAGGCCAGTGCCCAGCGGCTGTGCGCCACCACGGCATGAGACCATGAGTATTAACATGGATCCTTCTGCTGGACTCTGTAGTTTTAAGGACTCATGTACTCTGCTTTTAAGTGAGAACAATCGGCATCAAGAGACTTCTGCTCATGTTAATGTGGAAGTCTTTGTGAAGCCTACAGCCTAGATGCTAATTCTCATTTTACTTTCAGACTGTCAGAACAAAGATAATTATTTTCAAAGAGTAAGTTTATTAAAGGTGTGAATTGAAACTACTATTTCTGTTATTACTACCGCTCAGACTGTTGCCTTCACGACCCAGTCTCAGATAAAGCAGAAGAAAATGGATGGATTTTCATGATACACACATGTGTTTTGCAACTGTGTAATGAGCTTCAAATATTAAACATTGACTTTTGTAAATAGTTTTATTGAGCTTCTCAATAAAATAAACACATTTCTGACAGTGATAAGTGATAGTTATATATTTAAACTTAAATTTATATTTGTGCAGAATTCTGCTTTAATTCAACAGGTAGAGTCTCCGCCGTGCCAGGACTGGTATTGGCCTCTGGGGTCGACTCCACGTGGATCTCACTGCCCTGGTTCTGTGAGCTGCTGGTTTCTTGGTCGAGGGCTGGACTCTGGACTTTTGTGGACCCCTCCATCAGCTCTGAGGACATGGGCTGTGTGAGCCCACACTCCACAGACTGAAATGCTGTCAAGGAAAACAGTCATGAGTTTAATTAAATCGATCATGTTGTTGTAGACAGTGTTCCCTCTAAAAAACACAGCCTGAAAGATGTGATTCACAGATGTATATACAGCTAAACAACATGATTGAGCATCCTGTGCCTCCAGCACAAATACCTTGTAGCCTTGTACTTCTAGTGTATAGGCCGCGGTGGATCTGACTAGAAAAAGTCAGAGCCGAAAGCAGTCTGACTATTCATACCGTCCACAAGTGCGAGAGACGCGCCCAACACAGAAGTCTGATGCTGCGTTTGATCCAGAACAGGGCTATGGCCAACCTCAATGCACACCATGAACCAGGACTCTGTCTTGCCCATAGACTGTTCATTCTTGCCTTAGACTTGCAGATCAGTGTCTCACGAGCACTACACCAGCTGCTGAGGTGTGCCTAACCTACACCTAATGGGCACACACACATGCAGGGAGACTTGAGTCTGAGTCCTGCTTACTGTGCCTTGCGAAAGTATTCGGCACCCTTGAACCTTTCAACATTTCGCCAAATTTCAGGCTTCAAAATTTTAAAATTTTGTCAAGAATCAACAAGTGGGACACAATCGTGAAGTGGAACACAATTTATTGGATAATTTAAACTTTTTTAACAAATGATTACTTGGGTGGCATCTCTGATTGCCACCCCCCTGACCCAGAAATGGATTAAAGGGTAGAAAATGGATGGATGGATGGATGGACTTTAAACTTTTTTAACAAATAAAAAACTGAAAAGTAGGGCGTGCAATATTATTCGGCCCCCTTGCGCTAATACTTTGTAGCGCCACCTTTTGCTGCAATTACAGCTGCAAATCGCTTGGGGTATGTCTATCAGTTCTGCACATCGAGAGAATGGAATTCTTGCCCATTCTTCCTTTCAAAACAGCTCGAGCTCAGTGAGGTTGGATGGAGAGCATTTGTGAACAGCAGTCTTCAGCTCTTTCCACAGATTCTCGATTGGATTCAGGTCTGGACTTTGACTTGGCCTTTCTAACACCTGGATACGTCTATTTGTGAACCATTCCATTGTAGATTTGGCTTTATGTTTTGGATCCTTGTCCTGTTGGAAGATAAATCTCCGTCCCAGTCTCAGGTCTTTTGCAGACTCCAACAGGTTTTCTTCCAGAATGGTCCTTTATTTGGCTCCATCCATCTTCCCATCAATTTTAGCCATCTTCCCTGTCCCTGCTGAAGAAAAACAGGCCCAAACCATGATGCTGCCACCATGTTTGACAGTGGGGATGGTGTGTTCAGGGTGATGAGCTGTGTTGCTTTTACACCAAACATATCGTTTTGCATTGCGGCCAAACAGTTCGATTTTGGTTTCATCTGACCAGAGCACCTTCTTCCACATGTTTGGTGTGTCTCCCAGGTGGCTTGTGGCAAACTTTAAACGAGACTTTTTATGGATATCTTTGAGAAATGGCTTTCTTCTTGCCACTCTTCTATAAAGGCCAGATTTGTGCAGTGCACGACTGATTGTTGTCCTATGGACAGACTCTCCCACCTCAGCTGTAGTTATCTGCAGTTCATCCAGAGTGATCATGGGCCTCTTGGCTGCATCTCTGATCAGTCTTCTCCTTGTTTGAGATGAAAGTTTGGAGGGACGGCCGGGTCTTGGTAGATTTGCAGTGGTCTGATACTCCTTCCATTTCAATTGCTTGCACAGTGCTCCTTGAGATGTTTAAAGCCTGGGAAATCTTTTTGTATCCAAATCCGGCTTTAAACTTCTCCACAACAGTATCTCGGACCTGCCTGGTGTGTTCCTTTGTCTTCATGGTTCTCTCTGCGCTTTAAACAGAACCCTGAGACTATCAAAGAGCAGGTGCATTTATACGGAGACTTGATCACACACAGGTGCATTCTATTTATCATCATCAGTCATTTAGGACAACATTGCAATAGGCAACCGTTCAGCACAGTTGCCTATTGCTGCTTTAAAACGTGGTGTGACAATATGACAAATTATCTTTAGATAATTACAGGCCTTGTCGTTTTCTTTTGTCATATTACTAAATAAAACAATGTATACCATGTATTAATAGACACTAATTAGTTTATATTATTAATATGAATAGACTAAATCCCCTTTTAATATTTTGGTTATTTTAGTGCAAATCAAATACATTCCTAAATTTCTTTTAATTCACCATTATAGAGGCTAATCTTGAGTTCATTTCTTTGTAGTTTCTAATTTACCCTCTTCTGTAAAAGATGAATTGAGCCTGTTTTCACGCGTTAGATGCAGTCGCACCAGACGGTAAAACAACTGTGTTGCTCTCCATCTCTCGTTTATTCAAGGTACAGCCGTTATATTACTTGCATAGCAACATGTAACAACAACATCAGAGCATGGCGCGTGCCAAAACCATGTACTTACTCAAATCAAATCTCATTACAATCATGTTGGCATAACATTTTCTAAATTAAATCAAATATTAATAATGACATGTAAATTATGTGAATACAAAAATGGCGCTTACAACCATCTTTTAAAGACTCAGGAAGAATCATGATGCATATGTTTTGAATATTGTCACTACCTTATAAGAAAATAATGAGACCATAGTTGAAATGTGCTGACATAAGCCCCATTTCCCCCTACCCCACTTGTGTAACCAGTACCAGGTCCTTCTTTCTCACTAGTTTTCATCAAGGCCAAGAGGAACTAGAGGCTGTTAGAGGCTCCTGGCTGTTTTAGAGCCAGGAAGTATAGAGACAAGGGATTGATTACAGAGTTCTGTAGTAATCTGAAAGATACATCCCCCAGCTTTAAGCACAACCATGTAAACTTGGTTCAGTCGTGGTCCTTCTCACCCTGGTGCTGCTGCTTCTGCCGGGCCAGCCTTCTTTCCAGAGCCTTGACCCGGTTCTCCTCCATCCTCCTCCGCTGCTCCTCGCTCAGGGAGGGGGTGGAGGGCGGCGAGAGGCCCACGGACGAGTGTGTGCCGTGGCCCGCAGGGGTGGAGTGAAGCAGGCGGGGAGTGGACGAGCTCAGGTGGTCTTCAAACGGATCACTGAAGACCGTCACTGGAGCTGGGACCTCCTCCTCTCCTGAGCCAAACAACAGCCGGAAGACAACACATGTACGTCATGACCAGAGAGAGAGTAAAGAAATATAATTCTGCTTATATGATTTTGTGCAACTAAAATCTGAACAATCTTGCTGAAACACTTGTTGGAACCATAGACTGTAAACATTGGAGAAAAGCTCACCCTCTTTACTCGTGTAATCTTCGTGTGTGAGTGGCATGTCCAGTCGAATCCTCTTCAAACACGTCTGCAACAAAACGCATAATAAAAAGAGTGACCCAAGGGAGAGGCCAGAGAGGATAAAGAACCTCATTGACAATGATGTCTCATTATCAGGATATTATGATTAGTTTATGTTTCCTTGACAACTCCCAGTTCTGCCACCAGAGGAAGCTGCAACCACAGACATGGGATTGTAAGAAGTAATTTCACTCAATTATGGGCAATACTTTAGTTTTAGAGTGTGATGTCATAGTGGTACAATTACATCATACTATCACAGGACCTTTTAGACAGAAGCAGAGCTATATTTTTATGCACCGTTTGTTCTAGTTAACTTTTCTGGTTTGAGAATTAGATACCCCAGCTACATAGACTTAGTGATTTCTAATTATATTATTTTTTTATTTAAATGTGCACTTTATTGTCCCCGTAGAGAAATTTGTCCTCTGCATTTGACCCATCCTGGGAACCCATCTCCAGATGTTAATGCTCGGCTTGGTTAGGACTACCGGAGCTGGAGGATTTTTACCTAGTGAGCCTATTTTTAGTGGTAGAGACACGCAGACACAGGGAGAACATGCAAACTCCATTCAGAAAGGCCCTGTTCAGACAGGGATTCGAACCCAGGACCTTCTTGCTGAGAGGCAAGAGTGCTATCCACTCAGCCACCGTGCCGCCCCACGTGGCTGTGATAATATCACAGATTTGTTTTGCTCAGTGACCGTTTCCCTCGAACCTGGACTTCCTTCTTAGCACCAAGTCGTTCCACTTTGTCGATGAAATCCTCAAACTGAAGTTTAGGGAAAAGTCTGTGCGCCCAGTTCTCCATCCTCTTCATCAGCAAACGCAGGTCCTCCGCCTGAAAGCAAACCAAGAGTGTGAAAACCACGTCTTTCTGGTCTCTCGCCGGTCTCTCACCTCGTGACCTCTTCCTCTGAAGTTAACGTCGTTAAACAGCGTGCGCAGAGCTGGTAATCCTCTGTCCGAGATCAGCCTGAAACAAGAGCGTCCAAACATGAGGAGACAGGAAAAGACGGATGTGGGCTCTGGAAGCTTCACTCTTTGTCGTGTCCTGGTCCTCGAAACAAGACAAGCTACCAAAAATGAAGAAAACACGCGTTTTGATTTCTCGGTTAACAAAAAATGCAGGTTAGAAATATTTAAAACATAATTAAACCCCTTCATCCCAGAGGTCCATAACAGCTCTCTCTGGTGTGTCTCTCTGCATACTGTCTCAAACCTTTATTTTGGCTCTAAGTTTATGGAGCAGTCACCTATTGGAGTCTAGTTTGGGCTGTGGTCTTTTCACTTTCCGTTTGGCATCTGGGACATCGGCCAGTTTGGACACATCTCCCTCCTCATCTCCTGGACACAGAACAGCGTTATGACAAACATGAACCTTTCTCCGAAAAAATAGACCAATAAATCAACCCAGCAAAATCCCTGACAATCAGATCAGTAATGCCTCCAAAACAGATGGCTCCATCTCTTAGGAGCCCTGTTGCCATTTGCAGTTCAACCTTTACACAAGTCTCTCTCTCTCTGTCCCGCACATGTCTTACCAAAGGGGTCCACAAGCTGAGTTCCCGGAGACGATGGTGGCGGCAGAGCGGCAAAACCCTCTTCCACGTGGCTTGCATCAAACAAATCGTTGTCTTCCATTGCATCAACTTCAAACAGACGCAGCAGAGTCTGAAGGAGATCGAAGAGTCTTGGAGAGTCCTGGCACGAGAACTTCTGTCGTTTGAGATATTTCAGCGATCATGAAGGACAACACTCACTCATTAGTGTTTGTGTGACGCCATTTTGGGTCAAATAAACTAAATGTAAAGTATAATGACAGAAACACATCTTCTGACACTGATCATAAGTCTCCATCACCCAGTTTTCAATAACATCTATTCAGCTTGGACGTTGGAGTCATTGATAGTTGTAGATAAGGTTCTGAATCAATTCAATTTAATCGTACAGCCCTAAATGAGAACATATTTGTTATCTTGAAGGACTTAACAAAACTGTTGAATTCGCCAACGCAAATCAGAGAATCAACAGTTCAACACAAGAAATGCAAAAATAAAAACACAAAGGAACAGGGCCTTTCTGAGTGGAGTTTACATGTTCTCCCCGTGTCTGCGTAGGTGTACTCCGGTTTCCCCTACCACTAAAAATATGTACAATAGATCAGGGTTAATGAGTGTGTGTTTGTGAGTGTGACTGTGGGATGACGGATGGAAAATAGCCCAAGGCTACAGTGATGTTCATTAACATGTACTGTCCCAACCAAATAAACTAATAATAAACTAAACTGAATGTTGAGTGTCCGGGATTATCATCATTGTCCTTCTAGTCAGACCCTCTAACAGACCCTCCTGCATTGGCAAGGAAAAACTCAGCGAGTGAATAGGATCCTGTTTCATGTTTCTCTGTGGATCCTGTTTCATGTTTCTCTGTTTCATGGCATGATGATGGGACCCCTGTGAACGTGCCTCAGTCCCTCAGACCTGGGTCTCTGTTCGAGCACGTTTCTCTCTCAATATGGCCCTCCCCGAGTTCTCACATTTTCCCCTCTGAGTAGATCCATGCCGAAGAGTGATGATCCGGGACATTTCTGCACATTTATTAAAATGTCTGGACAGTGCTTATCCCGCTCCCTCAGGACCAATGAATCCAATGTGTTTGTTTTTGCATTTCCCTGTGTTCGAACTGTGTGGTTCTTTGACCTGCTGTTGATGCATTACTGCATTACTATTACTATATTATTATTATGTGCAAGTACAGCGTTTTCGATCCTGTCATTGCGCTACGTGTCTTTTCCCTTAGAAAAGTTTCCCGCCAGTACCACGAGTAACAACAGCTGACCCCTCGGACACACGGTGACCAGTTACAGCACCAGAAATAGGTCATGAAAGTGAAATAACTAAGTGTGAGAGACAGTTTTACCTGAAAGAGACCCACTTCTGGACGTGTTCAAAGAAGGCGGCAAAACAACGCACACTTCCGGGTTTAGTGACAGCAGTCCGATATCTTTTCAAAATAAGATGAACCTTCTGTTCCGTAGGATGGGTCTTCTTCTCGTGTTTTTTTATGGCCGTTGGCAAATAATGTTTGGTGGGTTACAGCCACCTTCCGGAATGGGGTATGGGCCAGGATGGCGCCCGCAGAAAACAACTAAATCCTAACATGAAATCCTACCTTCCACCCCTAAACAATTATTTTCTAACAACTTCTTTATCACACTTTCAAAATATCCCTTCTACTAAATCCAATTTTATAATTTCTCAGCACTTGTTTAAGCGGCTCCATATATTCTCTATATCTGGGGCACTGAATAATGGCGTGTTCCTATGGAGGACCGTGGCTGCCAAAACAATAAATATATACAGAAATAAATAAATAAATTTAAAAAAGATAAAATTTGTAAAGAAATGCATGCAATTATGAGAATAAGTGCATTTATTTCTGCATTTATTTGATTTATATATTTATTTCTGTATTTATTTATTTATTTATTTTTGTATTTATTCATACATTTTTCGGCGGACTTCAGCGCCATCCATCCATTTTCTTCCCCTTAATCCATTTCTGGGTCAGGGGGGTGGCAGTCAGAGCTGCACCCAGTACACTTAGCACCAGCCCCTCACTGATCCTCCTGCAGGTGGTGAGTCCACAGGAGCTGAGATCTTTCAGTGGGAGCTTCAGGCAAAGTGGGGTTAAGTGTCTTGCCCAAGGACACAACGACGGCAGTCATCAGCAGGAGTCATGAAGTAGGTCTTATGGTGGACTTCAGCGCTTTGTAGTAAAATACTGCACCTGTCACTGCCTTTGCCAAAAGCCTCTCACGAGCCGGACAAAAAAAACACACACACACACACAATGCAATTGTTGCATATGGAAGAATGCTTGAGATTTTTATTTTTATTTTTTCGTTCTGACATGGCTATAACGAGAACACAGCGATCTCAACATGACAGCCTACGCTGGACAAGCTATGGAGCAAGGAAAAAGATTAACCAATGAGTTTACAGCAGAGGCATCCCAGCCCACCCCATGCCGCCCCATGGGCGGCAGTAGCTCAGTTGGTAGAGCGTTGGCCTTTGAGCCAGAAGGTCGTGGGTTCAAGCCCCGCTCAAGACTTTCACCATCGACTCCCACTGACTACTGTCGTTGTGTCCTTGGCAAGACACTTAACCTCTGGGAACACCAGCCACAGTGGGGCGGCTGCGGCTGTAAAGTGCCAAACTGCCGTTGTGTCCTTAGGCAAGACACTTCACCCCCATTGCCTAGAATGAGTCTGGTGTGCGTGTGAATGGTTGGTGGTGGTCGGAGGGGCCGATGGCACATACTGGTTGCCTCGCTTCTGTCAGTGTGCCCCAGGGCAGCTGTGGCTACAGTAGTAGTTTATCACCACCGTGTTTGGAGTGAATGAATAATGACACATGTGAAGCGTCTTTGAGTGTCCAAAAAAGCGCTATATAAAACCGATGCATTATGATGCATATCATTAAGAGAAATACGGAAATAAATACAGAAATAAATACAGAAATAAATACAGAAATACAGAAGAAAAAAAAAAATAGAGAAATAAATAAATAAATTGAAAAATAAATACATAAATAGAGAAATAAATAAATAAATGCAAAAATAAATAAATAAAGAGAAATATATAAATAAATGCAAAAATAAATAAATAAATAGAGAAATAAATAAATAAATAGAAAAATAAATAAATAAATACAGAAATAAATAAATAGAGAAATAAATAGAAAAATAAATAGAGAAATAGAGAAATAAATATATAAATGCAGAAATAAATGTATGAATAAATACAAAAATAAATAAATAAATATATAAATACATAAATATATAAATAAATAAATACAGAAATAAATGCACTTATTCTCATAATTGCATGCATTTCTTTGCAAATTTTATCTTTTTTAAATTTCCATCCATCCATCCATTTTCTTCCGCTTTATCCGTTGCCGGGTCGCGGGGCAGCAGTCTAAGCAGAGATGCCCAGACTTCCCTATCCACACACACTTCCTCCAGCTCGTCCGGGGGGACCCCAAGGCGTTCCCAGGCCAGCTGGGAGACATAGTCCCTCCAGCGTGTCCGAGGTCTTCCCCGGGGCCTCCTCCCAGTGGGACGTGCCCGGAACACCTCCCCAGGGAGACGTCCAGGAGGCATCCGGAACAGATGCCCGAGCCACCTCAACTGGTTCCTCTCGACGTGGAGAAGCAGCGGCTCCACTCCGAGCTCCTCCCGTGTGACTGAGCTCCTCACCTTATCTCTAAGGGAGAGCCCAGCCACTCTGCGGAGGAAGCTCATTTCGACCGCTTGTATCCGCGATCTCGTTTTTTCAGCTCATGACCATAGGTGAGGGAGGGAACAAAGATTGACCGGTAAGATGAGAGCTTTGCCTTTCGGCTCAGCTCCCCCTTTACCACAACGGTCCGATACAGCGATCGCATCACTGCGCACGCTGCACCGATCCGCCTGTCAATCTCACGCTCCATTCTTCCCTCACTCGTGAACAAGACCCCGAGATACTTGAACTCCTCCACTTGAGGAAGGACCTCTCCACCCATCTGTAGAGGGCAAGGCACCTTTTTCCGGTCGAGCACCATGGCCTCGTATTTGGAGGTGCTGATTCTCATCCCAGCCGCTTCACACTCGGCTGCAAACCGCCCCAGTGCATGCTGCAGGTCCTGGTTCGTTGGAGCCAACAGGACAACATCGTCTGCAAACAGCAGAGAGGAAATCCTGTGGTTTCCGAACCGGACCCCCTCCGACCCTTGGCTGCGCCTAGAAATTCTGTCCATAAACACAGTGAACAGAACCGGTGACAAAGGGCAGCCCTGTCGGAGGCCAACATTCACCGGGAACAGGTCTGACTTACTGCCGGCAATGCGAACACAGCTCTGGCTCCGGTCATACAGGGATCGGATGGCCCTCAGCAGAAGACCCCCGACCCTGTACTCCCAGAGAACCCTGCCACTCCATTGGCACCGCCCCCGATCGCCACGCGATGTTGCAGAGACGTGTCAGCCAAGACAGTCCCACAACATCCAGAGACTTTAGATAGTCAGGACGGATCTCATCCACACCCGGAGCCTTGCCACCATGGAGGCTGCCAACCACCTTGGTGACCTCAGCCAGGGAGATGGATGTATCCGCCCCAACATCCTCAGCCTCTGCCTCTGTAACGGAGGACGTGACGGGGGGATTGAGGAGAACCTCGAAGTATTCCTTCCACCGCCCGACAATATCCCGAGTTGAGGTCAGCAGCCCTCCAGCCGCACCGTACATGGTATTGGCAAAGAACTGCTTCCCCCTCCTGAGGCGCCGGATGGTTTGCCAGAATCTCTTCGAGGCCGACCGATAGTCATGCTCCATGGACTCTCCGAACTCCTCCCAGTCCCGGGTTTTTGCCTGTGCAACAGCCCAGGCCGCGGCACGCTTGGCCTGCCGGTACAGGACAGCTGCCTCAGGAGTCCCCCGAACCATCATGGCTCGATAGGACTCCTTCTTCAGCCTGACAGCATCCCTTACTGCCAGCGTCCACCACCGGGTTCGGGGGTTGCCGCCGGGACCAGCACCAGAGACCTTGCAACCACAGCTACGAGCCGCCGCATCGGTGATTGAGGCAGAGAACAAGGTCCACTCCGACTCCATGTCCCCCTCCTCCGCCGGGACCTGGGAATAGCTCCCCCGGAGGTGTGAGTTGAAAGTCCGTCTGACAGGGGGCTCGGCGAGACGTTCCCAGCAGACCCTCACTATACGCTTGGGTCTGCCAGGTCTGACCGGCTTCTTCCCCTGCCAGCGGATCCAACTCACGACCAGGTGATGATCGGTTGACATCTCCGCCCCTCTCTTTACCCGAGTGTCCGAGACACGCGGTCAAAGGTCAGATGATACGACAACAAAGTCGATCATCGACCCCCGGCCTAGGGTGTCCTGGTGCCACGTGCACTGGTGGACACCCTTGTGCTCGAACATGGTGTTCGTGATGGACAAACTGTGACTGGCACAGAAGTCCAACAACTGAACACCGCTCGGGTTCAGATCAGGGGGGCCGTTCTTCCCAATCACCCCTCTCCAAGTGTCACTGGCAATTCCCACATGGGCGTTGAAGTCCCCCAGGAGAATAACGGAGTCCCCGGCGGTGCACCGTCCAGTACCCCTCCCAAGGACTCCAAGAAGGCCGGGTACTCTGCACTGCTGTTAGGCCCGTAGGCCGTCATAACAATGAGAGACATGTCCCCCACCCGGAGGCGGAGGGACGCGACCCTCTCATTCACCGGGAATGAACTCCAACACGTGGCGGCTGAGATGGGGGGCAATGAGAATGGCCACCCCAGCTCGCCGCCTCTTCCCGCGGGAAACACCTGAAAAGTGGAGCGTCCAACCCCTCTCAAGGAGTTGGGTTCCAGAGCCCGAGCTGTGTGTGGAGGTGAGGCCGACTATCTCTAGTCGGTATCGCTCAACCTCCCCCACGAGCTCGGGCTCCTTCCCCCCCAGTGAGGTGACGTTCCACGTCCCAAGAGCCAGATGTTGTGTGTGCGGACTGGGTCGCCGAGGTCTCCGCCTTCAACTGCAATTTTTTAAATTTATTTATTTATTTATTTCTGTATATATTTATTGTTTTGGCAGCCACGGTCCTCCATATATTCCACATTTTCCCTTGTCCTGCACACATCACAGTAGCCTGTGAGTAGTAGTCTCATGCTTCCCTATTACCCTCAATGTACAATGCATCCGTAAAGTATTCACAGCGCTTCACTTTTTCCACATTTTGTTACGTTACAGCCTTATTCCAAAATTGATTCAATTCATTTTTTTCCCTCACAATTTTACACACAACACCCCATAATGACAACATGAGAAAAGTTTTGAGATTTTTGCAATTTATTAATAATAAAAGAACTAAGAAACCACATGTACATAAGTATTCACA